TTAGTATAAGTTATGAAATAATCAAAAGAAATTAATAGATATACTAAAATTGGACATTGTTACCAAAATGGATGGGGAAGTATTAATAAACTATGTACATGCGGTGTTTTACCGAGAAAATAAAGGGATTATTTACAATAATATAAAAAATAAAATTTTAATTCGTTACAATATCTCAAAACCGGGATTAAGTAACAGGGGTCAGGTTCGTTAAGTAAAAATGTTCAGAACACCTAAAAACCTAATATTTAGACTATTATATCTAACCCCTGTCTTGGTCTCAAATTGCATCTTAATTCTAAATTTAATAAAAACTTATATATGTGATGATTGCCACTGGCGATAAATAGTAATTTTATTTTAATTATACCCCCATCCCTATTTACGTTACACCTGATCTTTCGATCTAATTGGTTAAAAATCACGTGCCGGAAAAAATTTTGTGGGTGAGCTACTAGATATGGCTTAAAACGACCCCCAAAATGTACAAATCCGCCGATATGGTGTAACAAAGGAAAAATCGCCACCCAAAATGATCTCAAGATCAAGTGTAACGTAACATAATCAAGAAATTCAAAACAAACGTTCATTTTGTCAAAAATCACTTATAACCCAAATTTAGTCTATGAAACTGCCTTCTGTGGATCAATTAAAAGTTTTCCTTGTAAAATTTTGCTATAAAACATCAATCTAATAGTAAAATCCTAACCCTAACCTTAAAAAACGAAATTTTACTTGAAACTTTTTTGGTGGCGATTTTACCCCGGTTACAAAGGAAATAATTATACTTTTGCTTGTGTAACATTATAATAGTTTAGTTTGTAATTAAGTAATGATCGAAGTAATTACTATAGTATACTTTGTCGATCATTATAGGATTAGCTTATACTTGCATCTTTGCAGGATAGTCAATTTGGGATACGTATCATTTCACCGACAATCACTTCACCGACATCAAGTTCATTTCACTGACAATTAATTCACCGACAAGTTCATTTCACCGACAAGTTTTTTTTTATAAATTACACTAACCTTAACTCTAATTCTAGCCTGACCTTAACGACAATGACCAGAATTACTTTGTCTGTGAAATGAACTATAAACTGTCGGTGAATTAGTTTCAGTGAACTAAGCTGTCAGTGAAGTGATTGTCGGTGAAATGAGCACCATCCGTCAATTTGAGTCTAATTCAATATATATATAGAGCGATATTCTTGTAAATAGGATAAAGAGGATTTTTTAGGTAGTACTTCTTGGGGTTTAGTGAAAATAAGGAATTTGGTTGGTCAGTTGAAGGTTTTGGTTACTTTCAGAGTCTTGTACATAAATAATAAATACTTGGTTTATTCTCTTTAATGTTTATGACCCTGAGTTAAATTGATATAAGAAAGTCTCTCCCCTGGTCATAACGATTTCCCGAAAGTTATTTTCTAAGCATGTCATCTAGGGATGTTAACAGTCTGGTCTGGTCCAGTCTGGTCTATTTTGGTCCAGGTCTGGTCTAGTCTATTATGGTCTTCATTCTTAAGACTTTGTTAATCCAGACCAGTCCAAACTGGTCCGATCTTAAGACTTAGAGCAGACCAATTTTTTTCGAGTTTAGACCAGTCTTAAGACTAACCGTGGTCTATTAGTCTAAGACCGGACCAAATAACATCTCTACTGACATCACAGGTGATAATTTGCTAAAAATATATATTTACAACTAACGAAATGCTAACCCTGAGAAAATTTGATATAAATTATTCACTGCCTAACCAAATTTTTGACTTCAATCTATATCCTAAATCAGATCTTTTTTATAATGATTCTATTACGTTTAATGGTCAGTAGATTAGTGCCAATAGTGATGTCCCCATAAACTATTTCTATTTTCTTGACATCATACAGAATGACAATTTATTAACAATAGGCACCTACAAAGAAATGGTTAACTTATTACCCTTTGTGATGTGCCACAGAAATATTTTTCGAAAAATGAGCGATACTTCAATAGTACATATGCCACATGTAAACTAAACAAATTTCTTTATAAAATATCTACAAGTTTCAACTCTGCCATTTCAAATTCAATAGTAAGAATTATTGAAAACATAAACGACATGAGATATACTTACATGATACTAAGTTTATTATTAATTTTATTAATATTACAAATTCGTTCAAGAGTCTATGCCCTTAGTTCGTCTCCGTACACGCCATTAACACAATTTTTGAACGTACCTGAAAGTAAAGTTCCTGATTTAGTGGCCCAACAGAAAACTTTAATTGAGGGGAACCGCCAATTAATTCCATTACTAAATGGGTCAATCTACGGTGGTTCTTATATAGATTTGAAAGAAAATAAAATAATTATCAACACAATAGATTTGTCCAAGGATGACGACATAAAAAATAATATTAAGATGAAACCATATCGAAATATATTATCATTTGTAAAAGTCAAGAATTCCTTAATGGATTTAAACTCCACTTTTGAAAAATTATCCATATTGGCGAAACAATACGATGTGAAAGACCTTGTGATTAGTAATGAATACAAAATCAACAATATAGTAATATATTTAAACACTAAAAATGAATCAAACAAAGCATTTATCGACGATGCAAAAAAACTTAATCCGAAAATAATTGACTTTAATCAATCTACAAAAGAAGCGGAGTTTAATTCGAATAGTTTGCATAATTCATTGACTTTAGAATCTCGACAAATAGGTATTTCACTCTTAGGCGGAACTGGCATAATGCACAATCATAGAGAAGTTTTTAGTGCAGGTTTCTGGGTGCGCTCAAGGGGCTTAACGTACCTAGTAACTTGCGGTCATTGTGCAGCAGGCGGAACCAAGAATCCCGATGGATTTATTGATTTTTATTATACACCATGGAATGATATATCTAGGTTCTCGCCTGAAAGTTATATTGGACCAATGACTATGTCCGATGTCGAGGTTGTTGATAGGGCATTCATCTTAAGAAATAATAGCAGATTCATCTCCAGCCCAAATATAAAAAATTCAGATTTTCGAGTGTATCCAGAATTACAAATTTCTGATGTTATTTTAGGACCAGATCCTGTTCGAAAGTACTTTCAGTAGACTTTCGATTTCGGTAAGTACCGAAAGTACCCACTTTCGGAGCCATCCTTAGTTACACCTGATCCTTCAATCTAATTGGCACCGGAAAAATTTTGTGGGTGAACTAGAGGAATTTTGACAGGGCGCAGGATCGATTTTACTATCACGTAATTCTCAGAAAACAAATGTTATTAAGTTAAAAACTTCTTTAGCATTCAAGTTAGAATTTAAGTTAAGGTTAGAAAGGACTATAGTGTAGTGTAGCAAAATTTCACAAGGAAATTTTTTTGTTAGGACTCCAAAGACGGTTTACTACACTAAATTTTGAGATAAATGCGATTTTTGTAAAGCGAACGTTTGTTTTGATTTTCTTTACGTTACACCTGATCCTGATCTTTGATTGGCTGATGGACGTCGGAAAATCATGTGACAGTAAAATCCCTGGCGTTGTTGAACTAGAGGGGTTATTTTAGGTATGTAGCTGTCCCACAAAATTTTTTCCACCCCTTGTAATAACGGCCAATCGAATTTCAGGATCAGGTGTAACGTGATTTTCAAAACAAACGTATTTTATTTTCTAAGTAAAAAGTTACGCGCAAAATTAAAGTTAAGAAAACTGCATTAAAGTTAGGGTTAGGACTAGGGTTAGGACTAGGATAATGTGATGCTTATATGTAAAATTTTACAAGGAATATTTTTCATTAGGCGATTTCCTAATTAAAATTTAGTCATTCTTGTTTTTTTGCTTCGTCTCGATTTTCACGTTACACCTGATCCTGAAATTCGATTGGTCATTATTACAAGGTGGAAAAAATTTTGTGGATCAGCTAGGGGCTTTGATTTGCACAGTCTAATAAATCCATCAGTTATAATTCCAGTTAAAATTGTCGGTCACTTGACCAGAACTGGAATTAAATAATTTAAAATTTGGCCAAAATGATTATAATTTTAACCAGAATTGTAACTGATGGGTTTCTATATTTATTTTACTGCGCAGATCTGCCAATATGTTATTTTTCGTAACACCATAACCGATTTAAGTCAATTCGGAATTATTAAGGTTAGGATTAGGGATGGCAACGGTCATAGTCGGTCATGGTCAATAACCACCGGTTATTGTTCAATGACCAAGTAGAGGTTGGAACCGGTTTTAATAATTCAAGTTTATCACGTAAATTTTGTGATATTTTAGAATTTAGTCCAATTAAATTTTAATAAATTCTAAAATATCACAAATTTATGTGATAAACCCGAATTATTAAAACCGGTTCCAACCTCTATGACCAAGGTTATAACCGACGGTTAATGACCGACTGACTGACCGACTGACCAATTAACTAACTAGTAACCTTTTTAAAATATATAAAAACGTACCAGGAACGGAGTACAAAGTACGTAGAGTAACTAACTCTTCCCGACGATCACTTGTACCAAATTTTTCTTAAAAACAATTGCTATTCTCTCAAAATTTTATTAAGTA